ATACCCGATAAAACACTCCTGCTCGTTTATTAAACATTACATAAAATATTTGAGATATAACATGTGCGCTGATTGGCTGGCTACTGTGTTAATATTAGAGGAATGAGACATGCTCACTCAAAACGTTAAAAAGTGTTTCATAAAAGCATATTATAAAAGCCTGCTTATGTCTCTGTACTGTGATATAAACACTTTGAGAGCTGTAAAGCACTCGAAAAGCAAAAAGACACTCGGCTATGCCTTATGCTCTTAGGCTGGCTTCTCTCAAGCTTATACAGCTCCCACAGTACAAAGACATGCACATTTTTCATGTTCCTTACAATCCTTAATCCTCACCTAGAAGAAAATTACAGCCCTTAACTGTTGTTGGTGGTGAATAATCATAGGACCTGAATGAACTGGCCTTACAGATATTCTCCATTGCCTCTACCACTTTTACTTCCCATGGATCAGATGTCTTTTTCTCTAGTTTCTTAGAAATCTCTGGGAAAATAAAACAAAATATAATAATTGTCATTTAATATGACCTCGATTTCACAAATAGCAAACTAATATGATTTATCCACCTCTTAGTCATTGGCATCTTGAAAATCAGGGTTATTGAATTGCAACACTTTAATTTAAAATTGATAAAACTAGTACAAAATAAACTTAACATTTATAGGGATATAGTACTAGTAGTCAAACACAGTGTCGCACCCTCTACCTATTGACTATATGATTGATGGCAATTTGTTGATCATTTGTCAGTTCRTTACTCCTCTTGGCTCCAGGTTATTTGGAATTTTAAAGGTATGAAATGCATTGTTTGTTTAAGCTTTACAACCCTGAAAATGGCAGAAAGCTTGGCAATATTGAATTAACCTAAAGCAGGGTGGCTTAAGGACAATTTTCAGCAATAACATTTTTTACAGACTGGTATATTTAGGAGGGGAGCCACAAAATCTGGCATCAGTGATGGGTAATTGTCTGGATGGCCCACCCCTTTCCATTCAAAATCAATTACCCCACCCCAAAATGAAATTCATATATTGGCTATTGGCGAYCCTTTTAAACTCATTTCAAATGACATATTGTAAGGAAACTCTGCACTTTCTTTCTGAACGTAATGATGTTTGAATAAAGCCACCTTACTACTATAAAACATAGTGGATATAGTTTTTCATTTCATATATTTTGTTAATTACTCTCCACAAATGAGTTTTATCTTCTCATCATTTCGAGTAAAAGCTTTTGTTTATCAAGCACTATTGAGATATGAAGTGACATCATACACCTTGCCTGTATCTGTGGTACATTTTTTGGCCATGCATCTCTGGGTTATTATTTAATAGTTTTGACTTAAGTCTACTGTTTTCTCCAAATAATGGCATGGCATGATGAACACATTGTTCACATTTATTTAATACATTTTCAAGGTTCTTGCATGATATCAGTTTTCATGCAAAGTTAGCCTCACCTTTGAYAGTAGCACTGCAACATTCGCAGTAAATCCCTTAAAAAATATGTAAACATGTAAATTAATAATTATTTATTTAAAAATAATATGGTATATCACAGGGGTTAAAATAATGGCTGGATGTCTGAGAATGTCCATCCTGAATTTAAACTTGTCCAGTCAAATCTTTGCCTAGCCAAAATTTTGACCAGTAATGTTGAGCAAGAAACAAGGTATGACTGACCTAAACTAATTTGGCCTGTCAACATGACCGGCGACTTACCATCCATTATTTTAAGCCCTGTATTGAAATCTAAAGTAAAGTGGACCACRTAACACAGTAATACTGTTCAGTCTTTAACCCTAGATACAATGAATCAAAATATGGCGACCAATTCGGTCACCATGGTGCATGGTCATGTCTTAATCTGATCTTATATAGCCCAGAGATAGTAGAGCATCAGAAATACATGAACCATTATCATAAAAAAGCAAATGCTATGGAAAAGTAAGTAACTTCTAGATCCCATGGTGTCAAAGCCAAGCAAGCCATGTACAAAAGGCATATGATTATCAGGGGCAGATATATCCAGGAATTTTAGAAGGGGGGTGACTATTACAAAGGTTTTAAAGAATTTGAGGAAAAATGGGGTGATTGTTACTATTGATATACTGAGAAATTTGAGCAAAAAGGGGGGTGACTAGTCACCTATATTACCATCCCTAGATCTGCCCCTGATTATATGTATACATACAAATTGCATTCTTTGAAATTACATTCAATTACCTTGCTTCATTCCTGTAGGTTTGTCTATGTCACCAGACACAACAATAAGCTTTGTAAAAAGGAAAACTAAACAAGTGATTCCAGTGAAAACATTCATGGTGACTGGAAAATAAAATAAATATATATGTTAGTGATGACCATGCAGTTATACTATTAAAATCTCGTCTTTTGGAAGGCTGCACGAAACCTGCATGATGGCTGGAGATCTGAGCCTACCCAGCTATACTAGCAGAGGTTGCCTTTTTGTCTTTCTCATTTCTTAGACTTTCCTGACTTACAGCCTTTTGTTTTTGTTGCTCTYGCTCGTTACAAACATCAAAGGGACCTCAAGGATTAAGAATAATTAAAGACGTTCATAAATTAATACTTTAGTAGTATCACAATTCAACTTTCAAAACATTTTTGAGGGTTCTTGGAATTTCCTACYGTGTTGTTTCACAACATGGGGCAATTTTGTATACCCCAGATTTAAAAAAAACTGGTAAACCCAAAGACAACTTTCATAGTTTTAAATAAAAAAAGCCTCTCAGCCAGGTATTTTGTAAAATTCTATTGATAGCATTAATAATTAAACGAATGCGACCCCAAAAGATAATAGAAAACTGAACTTCACCTTAAATCATAAGTAAGATGACAAAAAAAATTCTCATTGAATAGTGTCGATTTTTTATATTTTATTTCAAACTATAAAGTATTGTCTCATAATGAATGTTATATTGTTACTCTATTTACTTTATTGAAGTTTGGAATCTTAAAATGTAAGTAATTATTGAATCGGCTTTAATTTTCCCGCACATGTACGATTTTACATTTAATGAAATATAACTTTCCTGGCCAAATACTTCTCTGTTCCTCGTGGAGAACGCAATACAGCAGAGAAATAAGCCAGAAAAAGAAAATATCTCCTTTGTTTCTTTAAAACAATTTAATTACTTGAAATATGAAACGTTATGAGCTTAGATTTTTAAGCGCGGGCGTCAAGTTTCGTGAAGTTTAAGCGTAAATTTGTAAGATGTATGTTCGTACCCAAAAAAATTAAGTAGTGTATTAATTTTGCTATTGTTAACAACGAAATAACTTACCTCTTTTTGTTGATAAAATGTTTAGAGGCAGGCAAAAACGCATAGCAAGTACTGGTATTTTAGTGAAAGAGGAGAACAAAAACCTTTTATTCTAAGCTTGACAACCAAAAACAGTTAATTAACAGGCGTTCCTTGAGTGAACGAAAGGGATTGGACTCTACTGAAATCCTCTGGTCTATTCTACTGTGGGCTCAAAAATATTCATGACCTCCAATATAGAAAAAAACTTTTACAAATTTCGGAAAAAATGTAAGAAAAATCAATCCTTTGCGAAGATCTGTACAAAACAGACACAACTTTACAACACAAAACAGTTAATATAGCTTTTAATATAATTAATTGAATTTAATATAGCGTGTAATTTTATAATTCTTAGTTATTTTATAGTTTGATTATTCTTGGTTTGCAATCAATCCCAAGAGAGCACAATAACAAAAGGGATGTCTGCCTTGTTGGAAGATATAGCAAAAGAAGTCATTGAAAAATCTTTTGTCAAATTCTTCCAACATAGCGGCTATGACGTCTATTGCAAACGAAGAATATGCATGAGAGCCACTAGTTGATCAGTTATCTTGACTGTTAAGTGTTACCCTCTCTAAATAAAGATTATTGTATTGTATTGTATAACAGGCGTTCCTGATAGTGAACGAAGGAGATTGGACTTTACCGAAATCCTCTGGCCTGTTCTACTGTGGGCTCAAAATATCCGGGACCTCGAAAATTTTATACTGAAAAATAAGACTTCAATGTTTTTCGAAAATGTGAGAAAAATAAATCGTTTTGACGAATTGTGAGAAATAAAATACGTTAGAACTATGGCAGCTGCTAATGCCAAGGAAGGAGAGTACACAGTAACGGTTTACAGCTTGGTAAGTAGTGTTTTCTTYGATCATTCGTGTTTGTTTGGATTGGTTGCCTGGCAGTAGTATTATGTCGCCTGTGAGATTTCTTTTCTTTTCTTTATATTTCGTCTTTCACAAACTATTTTGTATTAAAAGACATGTATTTTGAAGTTGTAAGACATGTACTTTGAAGTCATATGTGTACAAAGTATTTTTTTTAAAACGTTAACACTCTTAATCTTTTCGCCAGAGTCTTATACTTGTGTATAAGCCATGTACTGTAAGCCATGTACTGTATACGTACCCGGCCCTGTAAAGCACCCTCCAGTTATTCATTATTATCTTGAATCTTTGAAGAATGATAAACTTTTACCGATTAAAAGGATGATACTTCTGAGGGTGCCGGTAATTTTTGTATGCCAGACAAGATGGGGGATGTATAATGATCAGCTCCATGCACTGTTTTGCAACCCRTCACCATGAGTAGAAAACATGATTAAAGATATAATGCATATGTTTGTGTTGGTGGTATAAGAAATGTTATTGACTTTGCTGGATGTGAATCATGGCATTTCCGTGGCATTGTCAGAAAAAAACAAAGTTTTCAAAGACATTCCAAATGTAATGGAAACACTTCAATTGAAATCTGTCAAAATCTACTGCATCACAACAATGATTCTATGCCTGCTACAGTATTAAAAAGCACTGCGGTGATATACATGTTTATGTAATCTAAAATATCATGGCAAGCCTTTTGATTCGTACCTTACCCACCATTTCTTTGCAATATGCCGGTAACTGTATACCTATATTGTATTTATGTGCAGTCTCTGTTAATGTAAAAAAATATAATTAAAGATGTATCTTATRTGAAGCAGTGACATGGATTGCATGATATATAGTGGTCATTTACTTCAGTATAAGTACTACAGTACATGTAGATAAAGAGTAATCACAATCATGCCATTGCTAATAATCTTTAGTCCTGACAAATTTGTTTTGCTTTACAGGTAGTTAGTGTATTCTATTCAGTCAAGCAGAGAAAAATGTGAAAAAGTAATACTAACAATGAATCATGGTTGTTGAAATGTAAAATCATGGTGATATTCATTTATATTTTAGATTAAGAGCCAGAAGTTTAATGAAGCAATACAAATTCTAAGCACAGAACTTGAAAATCATCCAAAGGTACAGTGTACAGTAATTGTCACCCTGATAATTGCTTGATTACTATTAAAAAGTAAAAAATAAAAATAAATATAAATAAATAAATAAGTGATGTTGACCTAAAGTACTTGATACACATGTATTTTTACTAGCGATAGTATGTACATTTCATGTTTTGCTTGGTAATAATTATATCTATAGGTCCTAATAGAATGAATCTACAAAAGCACAAAGAGGGGTTCAATGAATGGGTTGCATGATATACATATACTGTTTCTGGGTTATTAAGACTTGTCTTATTTTTTTAATTTTTAAGTATAAATAAAAATATAGAAAATTATATAATATTTTTTAGTTTTTTTTTGTGTGTGTGTATACTTATTTCAATAAAGTTAGTCACCAAAAACCTAGAAAGCTGAGATCACTGAGGATCATGGGAAACAATTCATTTCAAACAAGTAAAGCTTTTATGATACAAACTGCAGCTTGAGAATGCTCAGAAGAGGTGAGACTGTTACTGGTAAGATGCGCACGCAAGTCCATCAACAGATTATCAAATTGGTTGAAACATGTAAAATGTATCTACCCATAATCCTTGTCGGCCTCAGCTTTATAGCTTCTCAGGTGACTAACTTTATTGAATTAAGTGTATGTAAGAAGTTTATAGTCCAGTGAATATAGTCATACAGTAGTATTGATGATAAAAGGGATAATAATATCTTTTGTTTTTACAGTCTAGAGCTGCCCTCTCTTTGTTGGGATATTGTTATTTTCAAGTGCAGAATTTTGAAGCYGCATCAGATTGGTAAGGGCCAATCAGCAGAATCCCAGTGATACAGAGGTTCTGCACCATCACATGATGGCAGCCATGAGAGGAGGCAGAAAACATTTAATACGGTCTAATTTTTATTTACATGAGAAATAATTCAAATTCCCAGAGGACAATGACTCTCTTCTTGGGCCATGGCTGCTATCATGAGATGGTGCAAAAGCCTTTATTCTGTCATAAAACCTTCAATCTTATCGATACTCTAAAAGACCCCTGAATCCCCACTTAGGGATGATACAAGTGAGGGCATGGCCAACACAAATTGGGTTGAAATTTAGTGTTACCAAAAAACTCGATTATTATGATGCAGTGTCCAGGAATTGAACCTGAGACCCCAGAGGTGGGATCCCAGAGGTGGGACCCCAGAGGTGGGACCCCAGAGGTG